ACAGCAGCGACAGCGGCAGCAAAGCCATCGCCTCAAGGACAACATTTTGGCATCGGCTTAATTGCTATGGTCTGTTCGCAAAATGGCTGTGGTGTTGTTGTTGTGGTTGTTGTTAAGGTTAAAATTGCTTTCCACTGCTGTTGCTGCTGGTTACATGAGTGCTGATGCCAATGGGTTAAACGTGTGAACGTGCTTAAATCCATAATGGCTTTCAATCCACTCTTCATAGTTATCGCAAGATCATTAGCTATCGATCTAATATTGTAGTTTATATTATATTTGGATATATATTTTGAGACTTTCTGCATATTGTTTTATTTTCAAAAGGAATTGCTTTATTTTCACGAAACATCATGGCCGGCTTCAATCAAAAGATATATAGCATTCCCATTGGCTACGTCTTTATATAATTCGATGATCCTTTCATTTAAAAGAACAAGAGGTGCATTTCCGTCGTTAGTTCTTTTTTAAAGAGCATGTGCTTCTGATTATCTGTCTTCAGCTAAAGATGGAATTTGCACATTTTTGATGCAAATTCTGATTTTTTAGGTTAAAAATACGGAATTCATCGCGGCAGGCTCAGAGCTCAGCTTCATTCCAACATTTCACACTGTGGCAGCGGTTGTAAGACTACTTGTATTCCCTATATTGCCGCCCCTACCTCTTTGTACTTATCTGCCCAAACTTTTACATAATATTGATCTAAATCAATCCCAAATCGATTGAGAAAGCTCAACTAGTTGTATGAACTTAGCGATCATATTACAGATTATAGAAAAGGGAATGCAATTGAAACTGAAATGTTGTCTACCACTTAGCCCAACAAATGGTTTTGTAAGTTCTCTGACACTTCATTTTTCGACAATCAAGCCACAATTTCCATTTGTACACGCAGCCATGAATAGAATTTTGACCCATTTTCAAACTAAACTTTCCATGCAAAAGTGTGCGCATATCATTTATTATTACAATCCGAACAAACACACCTGCAAAATGCAAATAAAACAAACAACTAATGCATCCACAATTCACTTCTCTGCTCGGACCTGCTACCAGCTGCCGCACAATTAACCCGAATTGAACGAATGTTTGTGCTCTTTCGTCTGATAAGCCGACATTACGAGTGCCCCAGAACAAAACAGGCCAAAATATTTCGGCATCCGGGCGGACAGAAAGTCCATCGAGGATGACCACAAAGTGCATAGAAAATAACGGAAAATTGTAAGCTAAAATAGTCACCGAGTGGAGGAGCAGAGCTAAGCCAAAACAATTATTTGTAGCAGCTGCCGGAGAAAAATTTAGGTTCTCGCAAACGGTTGCGAGACACACAGTGGTGTCACATACATACATATTAAGGAAATGTTTGTTTAATGAAGCAAACTGAATTAAATATTAGCAGGGAATGGACTTTTAAAAATTTTAACGGATATATAAACATATATATGCACAAAAACATATATGGTGGAACGGTTCTTGAAAGAGGAATACACCTAATTCTGTTTTTAAACAGACTTTTTTTACACGATTTTGATATAACGCGGTTTGAAAATTAAAAATTGCACATATATTTCTTTAGAGATAAGGAACCAATCACCTACAAGTATTTTTGCATATGATCAAGGTCTTTTTTTACACGGTTGTTGCTGGAACCAATCTACCGTGTAAAAACACAATTAGGTGTAATCTACATTTGAATGCCATTTTCAACAAAGTTTTATTTCTATTTCTTTTCAAGTTAAAGTGAGAAAGATTCCAATTTAGTAAGATCGAACATAAGACGCAGATATTATGGCAGTATTCAGAATTTAACCGATTAGCCGATCAGACAATTCTGATGTTAATGTCTTCTGAAAAGTATTATAATATTCGAACTTTGCATTACATAAGTACAGTAATACACGAATACTTATTTAATATTTCATGGACATTTTTGTGTAAACTATAGCTGCGGAAAGTGAATGCCAATGATGGACAACAAAGAAATTCAAATTCAGTTCTCGATATACGAGCATAAGAGTTTTGTTTGTTAGCTTTACAGCTTTGGGGTTCCATCAAAGGGACATCATAAATGAATCAATTGAACAAATAGATTCGATGGGTTTTTTTTTATCAAGAAGGGAATAATTAATAACAATAATAATAACAATTTATAAAATGTTTTTGTGCATTTCCTTAGAACTACTAGTACTTCTGAAAGCGCTTTAATAGATAACATTTTTTCTTCATTTTGTTTTTCTATTCATAATTGGATGAAGTCATACTTTTGTTTCAAAACGGGCACATGCGTTTGTAAATAAGTGAAGTGCTTTCATTTGGAGCACAGTTCCTGATCTCCTGCTTGGTCGCAAAGCAGATTCCCAAATGAAATTGCATCGCAATGCCCCCTGTTCTATTTGTTGTTGTTGCAGCTTTTATTGTAGTTATGGTTATTGTTGCTATGGCTATGGCTGTGGCTATGGCAGCTATATATTTACTGTAGTTGGCAGCCCAATGTGTGGGAGACTGTTGGGCTGCTGGTATTTGAATGCTAACGCTTACTTTCCAGCAAGCACTCGTGTTGTACAATTAAAATTGCACAATTTTACATGCAAAATGAACAGACCCTGGATGAGGGGGCGGGGGCAGAGGGGCACAAATGACCAAACATGCTCAACACCTAAGCAGGCGCCTAATGAGGGACAGGCTGAAGGCTGCAGGCTGCAGGCAGGTGTGTGCACGGATGTGTTCGAAGGGGTTGGAAGGGGTTGGAAGGCGCTGGGAGGTCACGCCCTGCTTGCTGCCCAGTCCCTGCAGAAATTGTTTTAAGCTCGACAAACTTTGCCTCGTTTATTGAAAAGTTTGGGAAGGCCATATGCAGGCATCAGCATCAGCAGTGCTGCTGAGCGTTGCTTGCGAGTCCACGTCTCTTATGAGCTGACCTGACTACACAAATTTCTATATGAATAACGCCTAAATGTGTGCACTTTATCTTCATCATCATCATCATCATCATCATCATCATCATCATCATCATCATCATCATCATCATCACCAGAATCACAGTCATCATCGTTATTATCCAAACTGCTGGCTGCAAATGAACATTTCTGTGTTTGTTGTTGCTTTGCTTTTAATTTACTGCTTCAAAAAATCTTTCTGTGTACGTGGGACTCCCCTCTTCTCCTGCTCGAGCCTGCTGGCATTTTCAAGCTGCTCGAGCCACTCTCACGAATTTATATTAAAAATTATTTATTGCATTTGCTGTGCCTGCTGCCCCATGCTTTTGTTGTTGCTGTTGCCCGAAACTTTTTAATTGCTGTTTTTAAATGTTTTTTTTTCTCGACCATGGCCCAAAGAAACACGTACGTGCTTTTATTTTTTTTAGCTCGAATGATAGAACTTTCTGCTATTGTTGTTCAGTGCGGACCATGCACGAGTCCGCATCTTGAATACAAGACATACTAAACATATTTTCCAAAATTATGAGGGTATTTATGGAAAAATAGGCATGCAACTTTTAGCCTTTGTCTCAAAACACAGCTTTCAATAGGCATTGTTAGAGAAGGCAACCACAACAACATTTTAGGTTTTGTTCGTTTAACTGCTTTATTTGATGCAAAATAGACAACTCCAAGACTTTAAAAGCATAAGAGGCTGGCAAGTCATAGGCGAGAGCACTTATCACTGCGATGCTTAAATATTTGCTTCAGTATTTATGAATGTTTTCTGAAACCGGCTAGAAAATGAAAAAAGTTATAGAATTTTATTTTCCCCCAAGTCGTTTAAATTGTTTTTCAACAAATTTGATCTAAACGAAGAATATTTTCCCTAGCAGATTCAATCATTGGGAAAGGTAATTAATTTTCCATAAACTTATACTTGTATATTTATTTATGTAAAAATATTGCAGGAAGCCATGCTGCCTTAGGTGGAGAATAATAAATCTTACAGCAGGATAATGACTCGAATTATACGAACCCAGCCCCACAAAAGGCTCCAGAAGAACTATTGCGCTCTTGTGGAGTTTCCTGATTCTTTGCCGGACCTCAACCCAACAGAAAATCTATGATCTAGCATAAGCAGAGATGTTCTCTTCGAAAACTGAGCAACAACATGACTGTAGCTAAGCAGTTGTGGGGTCGGATCAGTTAAGAAAAGTACGAATGCTTTGCCAACAAATTCTATACAAATTTAAGAACTCCTTCGAATATTTTTGAAATTTTATAACAAATTTTCTAAATTTCTTTATGATGTGGGACTGATTCTTATTATTTCTAACGCAGCTGTATAAACACCCTTTACAATGGAGTAGGAACCAAAAATTACAAGTATTTAAGGGGAGGTTAAGTCGACCGTATTCTTTCATATTTTTGTTATTGAATCGAAAGTGAAATGAAAATAAAACAAAGCACATACCTTATACAATTTCGTTTAATAATAATTAACTTTTCACGTCAATTAATGCAATCTAAACTATTAAATTTTTTAAAATGAAAATACATTTAACCCTAGATGTAATAGATTTTTAACCACAAATTGAAAACTGTGGCTTGGCCATTTTTAAAAATGTTGTCAAAAGTTGAACCAACATTGCTGATTGGAAAAAATTAATGTAGCTGCCAATTATGGCAAAGTGCATGGCAGAAAGCATTTACGAAGCCTTGTCGACCTGGCAGAACCATCATTAAAGCATCCACAGTAGGAGTGTTGATGAAGGTAGGCGCCAGTATGGGGCTTCGGTTATGTACTGTGCGGTAAAATAATTAATGTTGAGAGCAGAAAAGCAAGTAACAAGGCAAGAAGGAAAAATGGTCGTCGTCTAGGCAACAAGTTGTGACTTAATGCCAGGCTGGCTAACCGAACTGAGTGTGGAAATACGGCTAGGAGCTAGAGGGAGGATAAGGACAATTGAGATGATGCGGCGATGTCCAAGTGGCAATTAAACTGCGTGTAATTATAATTATGAGGCCGAAGCCGGTCTGGCCACTTGGCAGTGGCCAAGGCAATGTTGGGCAACTCACCTGCGCCGATATGCGTCCCTTCTTCAGTCGCGTTAGGTCCGTGTGACTCCAATGGCTGCGCGCCCAAGGCATCACATTCCGCAAATCCTCATCAAAACTATGGGGCGTTGCAAAGAGGAGAAGAAGAAGAAGGAGAGAAACAGAAGGCCGAGATCACGAGTTAAATTAAAAATTAATCGCATTAGATGTGAAAATGTACGAGAATACTCGCCGGACGATACTCACTTAAAGTCATTGAGTTTGTTGTGCAGGAACTTGCGTATATTCCAGGGTAAGTCGTTATGCCCATCGATTAAAGGCACTTGATCCAAAAGTTGAACGGCCACGCGCAAGCGTTCCTCAAACGGAGCACCTAAGACGGGAGGCGGCAGAGGGAGAAGGGATGGTTGAGAGAAGTGGACAAGCATAGCATATAACATGGCAGCTGCCTAAATGCAGTTAACTAACTTAAACGCATTAACACGTCGCACACACACACACACACGAATACACAGGCACATGTACAGAGGAATGTGGGGTGAGGAGGATAGACAGTCAGTGCATAAAGTGTCGTGCGTGCACAACGTGTCGTATGCGTTATGGTAATTGATTTATTGTCTATGGATACTAGATGGAAGCGGAGTCGAAGCCAGAGCTCCGTTGGCTATGGCTATGTCTATGTCTATGGCTACTCACTTGCTGCCACACGTAGAGCCAGAGGCACGGCAACACTGGCAGCGCCAATTATCAAGAGTATCGAGCTGACTGCCAGCCAGTGCTTGGCCGCATCGAATCCTGCGTGGCGTATACGTAATGTGGAAGGGGCCCAGCACCAATGTTGCAAATTCAAGTCAGTATTCATGACGACGATGATGATGTCCATTGTTGTTGTTGTTGTTGTTGTTTTTGTTGTTATTGGCAGTTCAATGCCAAGTCGTCATCATCATTGTTGTTGTTGTTGTTGTTGTTGTTGTTGTTGTTGTTTTGTGTTGCATTTTGTGTGTGTGTGTGTGTTTGTGCAAATTGCCGTGACAGTGGCATTGATTACAGCAACAGCGCCAGTAGCACATGGAGAAGTTATAACAACAACAACAACAACAACAACAAACAACGAGTTGTGTTATATTCGTCGTTCATGTAAGGAGAAGAAAACGATAATAAGGAAATATGGTTAGTTAAACGTTTGAAATTGAATTGTTGGGTTGGTTTACTTAACAAAAAGGGCAAAAATTCTACAGTGTGGATTTTCGTCGAAGCCTTTTGTCGAAATGGCTGCGCTTTCAAAGAGCGAGTGTGCGGGGGAATGAGGAGGAAATAAACTGTGATGGAGCTGGAAAAGTGAGTACATGTCTGGAACTTAGCTGAGCTATGAGCGCAAAAAGGATTGCAAGAAAGGAGGAAGTCTAAAGCTGCTGTTATTGCATGATGGCTTGCGATAAAATAAAAATGTAGTATATTGGCGAAAGATTCAATCATAGTGTGTTGAAAGAAAGTTTATTATGGGAACTTTGTTCAGCTCTTTCTGCATGATTAAGAGTTCTAGTATCTATGATGATGTCTGTTGGAGGGAGACATTGTTCACAGCCTCAACGAATTTAATAAATTATTATACATTTAACTTAAAAAAAATACTCGTAGAATTGTTTTGCAGAGAATAGTTAATTTTATGGGTTTCGATAGCATAAAGATTTTTAGATTTTTAAATTGATTTGTTTGTGACTGACTCTAATGACTCTAATCATATGCTGCCGAAGAAGTAAAATATGTAAGCATGCCTCTCTTTTCCACAACTATGCAGGTATACTATATAACGGCATATAGCGGGGTATATATATAGAGAATTTCAAGATCAGACACATTTTGTCTGTTTATATTTATACTTTACTTCTTTTTCAAATTCCTGTAGCTATTTTATTTCTATTAAAATTGTATATACTATATTTATTACAGTTATTTGAATTCTAATGTATTTCCATTTCTGTTTCTTTTTCATATTTTTTCATTCACAACTTTTGGGATCTTTTTTAAAGTACTCTTACTATATTATTTCTATTTGATTCATATATTTCTTTTTATATTTGTCATTGAATAACATTTTTATTGAACTTCTATTGCATTATATATTTCTACTATAGTTCAATTATAAATGTTTTCTGCGTCCCTCCTTTTTCTTTTCTTTTCTATTTCTAGACTATTTGTCTTCTATTTTTATCCTTTTATTAAAGGGAACGGAAAAATCCATTTTTATTATTCCTTTCCTTTCATTATAAGTTATTTCATTTTCAAATTATTTTATATTTCTATTTATATTAAATTCTTATTCAATTTATATTTCTCTTTTAATGTACTTTAAAGGGCAATTCAAAGAAGGGCCATCTGGGCACTAAACAACCTTTCGTTAGACCAAAAACTGCAGTTTTAAATGTTTTACAATCTGTTTACGGTCCGGCACTTAATCCCTTGCTGCATTACTGATCTGTTGAGCCAATACTTGGCCATTCATCATTTGCCTTTTAAGCAATTACCGAATGCTCTCAAACCAAAAAGCAAATCTCATTATCGGTGGATTTTAATTCGACTAATTTTGCTGGCAAGCCAAACTTGATTATCGAACTTAATGATTGACAGAAGTACAGAGATGTCAAGCGCAAAGAGGTTAGGCAAATACTCGAGCGAATAGAATATCCAGGAATGTTTAACTGAAAAACGAGAGGAGCGGAGCCTGTAAGCTATACGCCAGATAGTTGGCGTTTGATTACTTGTTTTTATACTGTGAGCCAAAGTGAATTACTGATAAGTAAGCAGCGAGCAATGCGAACAAACTGAGCGTTAAATACACACTTGTGGACTAACACACGCACATGTGTGTGTGTATGTGTGTGTGAGTGTGTGTTTGTTATAACGTCTGTGTAAGGGCTTAGAAATTCATGCACTGATGACGGCAATTCAAAAGCGAGCATGGCCGCTGGCAATAAGCGCAGCTAATACCAGTACTGGATAGATGGATGGATGGCTGGATGGATGGTAGCATGGATGGATGGGCAGGAGGACAGCTGGTTGGTTTGTCTACTACTGTATGGCCGGTTGAATGGGCTGAGCATACAGCGATTTGCATAAATTGTATATTTTGGGAGTCGTGGACGCCTGACGTAACGCAGTTTTTGAACATGCAACAGAACGCGGCAGCAACGCAGCTAACAAATTGCAGTCTGTTGTCGAGGACGAGGACCAGGGAGGCAGACTGAAGTACCAATGCAGTTGTTACTATTGAAGTTGTTGTTGTTGTCGTTGTCGTTGCCACCACTGATGATGATGATGATGGTGATGGTGATAGGGCCGAAGTCACGCGGGCATTGGCGACGTTTAACATTTAGCGGCATGTTACATGAAGCGCAATCAAACGACTAACGACTAAATGCAACTGGGAAAGGTAGTGGCAGTGGAGTGTTTAGCAAAGTACAGTGAACACTTTATAAAAATTATAGGGGACAGCAGAAGTTTTTAATTAATTTAGAAAGGGGTCCAAGATGATTACTTCCGAAGGAGATGTTCAAAAACGATTTTTGGAAATGAAAAGCTATGCTACTTAATCAATAAGTGAGTGGATTTGCGCTTTAGACCGAAACTTGTCTCTTAAAGTATAAATATAGTAGCATTATAGGTTTTACCCATCGCTTTTGGAAATGTTTTTTAAGCACTAATTGTAAATAATTTGTTGCCAATAGCAAATTTTGAAAAGGACATAAGCAGGCTTGAAGTCTTTGCTACATAAAAAAAGAGCCATATTTGCTTGAGAAAGTTAATTAGAACACCTGCAGTCTGACCAGGAACTACCTTTTCCAACAATATGAAGCCATGCAAGATATTTTCATTTTCAAGTGTGAAGATAAAGGTATTTGGGAAGAAGTTTGAGGTGATGTCATGAATATAAGCTTAAGCTTTGTAGCACACTTAGAGTGAGCGTGGCGTGGAATTTACAAACCGAGGCGAAAGATATTCTTAAATCGTTAAAAATAATCAATGGCAGCGGATATGCTGGACTGGCTAATAAATTTTCCCCCAACGGGTCAGTTATTCTTCACCTTTCATTTTTAATTATATTTTAACTTTTATTATTTAAGTATTTTCATTTTAATTTGTTTTCTTCTATCTTTTATTGCAATATTTATTCAATTCTGTCAATTCGTTTTTGATAGGTCTAATAACGTATCTGACTACCCGCTGCTGTGAATCGGGGCATAGCTGGCCGTTTGGCAAATAAAATTCCCCCACCGTGTCGGATTCGTTATTAGATATTTTTGTCATTTTTATAGACTTTTTTATTTCTTTAGTTTTATTTAGTTTAAGTGCTCTATTGTATTATATATATAGATTTTTTTTTTTTACGTCGACTAAACAAAATAAATAAATAAAATATATTCATTTCAAATATAAAAGCTTGGCTGGCATAGTATTTTTTTATGCAAACAAAAGGAGTTGAAAATGTCGATTTTTAAAATTTATTTGAATCTATATAAAAACGTTTGAAATAGCAGAAAATCTGCGCTTCTAAGCTACCCAATAGCTCTTCCATTTGTTAATCAAATGACAGCTGATTGCTGAATATGCTCAAAACTGATCAGAGATGAAACATATAGAAGCACTGATCCGCTTCAGAGAGCATTTCAGGCAGCTGGCTTTACTTTAGACATGGTTTATTGATCACTTTAACGGGGTAAGTAAATTAATAAAACGGCTAAAATATTGTTAGAACATTATATTGTGTCAGTTTTTTATGGAAGCCTAATGTCTTTTGAATTAAATGCTGCCCATTTGTTGCCTAAGCAGGTTGTGTTACTGTATCGGGTGGCTTGGTTTGGGATAAGTGCAAAGCCGTGTTACGTATCTACTTGTCTGACTGTCATGTTGCTGGTGTCGTGCCGCACTGTGCTGTACTTACGAAACGAGTTTGTGCCCGAGCTGGAGGAGCCGCGACTGGGGCACTGTCGATGCTTCCACGGCATGATGCTCGTCACGCTCGAGTGCAGCTGATGATGTTTCTGTGGTGCAGTCGAGCCCATGTTGCCGCCAGCGTTCGTGGTCGAATGCAGCAAAGGATGCACATGATGTTCATGGTAATGATGGGACGACTGCTGATGCGGCTGTAATGGCGGCTGCTGATGTTGCTGCTGCTGCTGCGCCTGCAATTTCTCCTTAAGGCCACTATTAGCACTATCGAACGATGTCATGGTGAAGGTGGAGCCTGCCATGCCGTTGCCACTGCCATTGGCAAGCTGAAATTTCTGGTAGGGCACGCGGCAGCTGCCCAGCGTGTGACGACCGTCGATGTCAACTAAATTGCTAAAGCTGCAGCTATTAATTGGCAGTGTCCCTGTAGTCCCTGCGCCTCGCCCAACACCATTGCCATTAAGCCAGTCCTGTGCATCGCCAGCGGAGCCTGTGTGGAAGATGTTGTTGTTGCTCGAGGAGCGAGCAGACGTCGGCGGCGGCGGCGGCTGCCCCTCTTGCTGCGACTGTCGCTGCTGCTGTTGATTGTCTTGCCGCGTGCCAAAGTAGTCGCGTGGAAAAGCGGTCAGGGACTGGGAGAAGCAGCGGCAGCGCTGCTGCTGGAAGTGGGCCAACTGCTGCTGCTGATGCTGCTTCTGCAGGTAGCGCGTGTAGTGCGCCAAGTGGCGGGCATAGTCGCTGCTCGGCCCAATCGTATTGTATTTGCTCAGCTGGTTGGTCGAGGCAGCCGCCACAATGGCCGCCTGCTGCAAGTCACGCTGCGACTTGGAGGACGAGAATGCCGGCAATGTGCCGTGTCCATTCTGTTGGGTGCTGTTGCTGCTGGTGTGGAGAAAGCAGAGACTCGGATCTGATTTCTTGGAGTGCGGTGTGAAGATGTCATCGCTGATGTGATTCATGAAGGGCGGGAGATATTTGTGCGTGCTGGAAATGCTGTGGTTGCTCTGACTCTTGTGGCCGCCCATGCTCGCCTGGCACACATCCGGCTTGCTGTTGCTGCTGCCATTATTATTCTCCTGTCCCAGTCCATTGGCGCACTTCAGCAATGTGCCTGCGCAATCGTCCAGCGCCGTGCCGCCCAAATGAAGCGCCGTTTTCGTGCAGTCTTGCAACAGATCGCTGCTGCAGAGCTGAGCAATGCCCACATGATTGTTGTTGCTGCTCAGCTGTTGCTGTTGCTGTTGCTGCTGTTGCTGTTGTTGTTGTAGCTGCTGCAGCAAACGCAAGCTTCGCATGCTGCCATTGCGCTTCATGGATGGCGGCGGCGGCACAGGCGGTATGAAGTCCACATCCGACATGCTGGGCGAGTCGCTCTAAATGAGGAGAAACATTCAAAAGCAACAATTAGTATGAAAAGCCATAATATTGCATTAAATTCAATTTTAAACTAATTTAATTCGTTCAATACGACAAAATGTTTTGTTAAGTTGTGCTAAGCAGTTATTTAATACTTTAAAAATATAATTCAGCTGGAATTGCAAATTAATGCTCACACGTATTAAAACATTTAAATGGAGTAAATAAATTTCATTTAACTAATTTAAATTCGAATTCCCATAAAATGCCTCTTTTATTATAATTAGTCGGCCAATACAGATGCAACTATTAATTCTTGGCTACTTAATTTAAGATAAGTATTTGTCGTATTATAGTATTAAATTGTTGTCTACAAGTGAGTGTGTTTCATTAAACACTGAGGAATGTAGTCCTTTGCAATGCTATGAGAGAGTGAGAAGGGTATGTTAAACCTTGAAATGCTCCTGAAGGTCATTTTGACAAAAATATGATGATGAAAATGACACATGTTGGCTATTGAAACTTTCGAAAACTGTTCTAAAATATATTCTTTTGATATATATAAGTATATTAGAGTGTATTTAAATTTATTTATGTTAAGTAAGATAGCTTGCTGAAATCGTTTTTCGACCCCAATAATTCAGAACTACATTCATTTGATCTTCAAACAATATTTGGAACACATTTCTCTCCGAATCAATAATTAATATAAAACTTAATAGTTTATAAGTCCTACAAAAGAATTTAATGTTGCGTTCAGATAGCCTTCAATTCATATTATTTAACCGAGTTTGCAAAAACTTGTTTATTGTGCTTTCCAATGGTTAAACAAATTTCAAAAACTACATTCATTTCACTCTAAGTGCACCCCTAGAGTTGTCTTTAAACCATGCTTATGATTATTAAAGAATTTATTTTTCTTCAAGATATTTCTAGTCTTTCAATGGAAACTCTTCTTTTTTAAAACTAATTAAAGCTTCTTTAAACTAAAGTTGCTTTTGACAACTAGCATGGTTTTTTCTGCAAAAAGTTAAAGCACACTTTGAACTTAATTGCCATAGAAATTAAACATCTACGAGTAGATAAATATTTCTGACGCTCAATCACTTTGAAAACATATCCAAAATATGCTTTAATGCTTGTAGATATATTTTTTCCGGCTTTTTCCTACATTAGCCACACCATTGTTGCTGCCAAGGCCAGTTGCTAAGCAAAATTAAATTATAGCCCTGGACTTCCGGCAGCGGCGACCCCAAGCGCTTATGCATAAGACCCGAACTGGAAGCCTCCCATTCCCACATTAAATGTAATTATACCCACACAAATCCCATAGCTGGGAAAGGGGTGTGAAAAAGGTTTATCCCACCGCGCACACTGAATGCGTCCGCAGCTCTATGTAAGTGCCCAGAGCCGTCCCGCTTCGCAGGCCATCTAATTGAATTTGCTGATGGCCAAAATCATAGAAATCATCATCAACATCGTCATGATCATCAATAGCTTCACTACATACTATGGGAGTATAGTATGCGGATTCACATTCCGCATTCACCATTCACCATTCAACATCAATGCACAGACGAGAAAGTGTTCGCTCGACACGGGATTTGGCTGATTTGAAATTGAATTCCTTTACGGGAAATACATTTTCATTGATTTGCTTTTTATTTTTATGCGTCTGTCCGTAAACTGAATTGGAGTGACGTGCATGGGGCAGTCAGTGAACACACACACACACACAGACACACAAATGCGCCCATTTATACATATTTCCATTAATAAAAATTTCCTTTGAATTTTGATTGCTTTATCTAAGAGCGTCGTCTGTCCTCGCACCTAGCTCCCCTCCTTCCACCATTATAGCCAATGCTCTTGTTAAAATTGTTGTTGTTGCTGCCCCTTAACGGTTTGCTGTCCATTTGCCACACGCCGCTTGCTTATTATTTTTATTTACTTTGTCTTGTCCCGGCTTGGCATGGTGCGTCTTGTACACGCTTAAGTGGAAATTGAAATTTTCATATTTTCATTACAGGGCGCTGGTAATTTCGGCTCCGCCATCGCTTGACACGCCGCCAACTTAAATAATTTATGCAAATATTTTTTGGGCAACAGAGCTGGCTGCATAAATTTCTCATACTTGGCCGTGTTGATTTAATGAGCACAGATTTTCAGTTTTCGAAAGTAGATGGAAATGATGTTAGTTGCCCTTAAAAAGTAGCAGGTCGAATTAAACGTTTAGTCTATAATTTCATGAATTTGCTGAACAAATTGGAATAATTAAGGTAATCAGAGTAATTTATAGCAGTAGATGAAAATAGTGAAAATTATATGACAATTAATAAACAGTTATAAGCTTATATTCGCATGTACATACATATATTCTGAATAAAGTTAAGTAAGCCATAAAAATGATGATGATGCCGGAGCCTGGCACCAAAGATATGGTGACAAAACAAATGTCTAACGAAGGTAAAGACTCCAATTCTGAACAGTTACCCCATGGAGAGTTTTAGCCAACAGTGTGCAAGAAAAAATAGGATCTTTGAGGATGGAATTGAAAGTCTTGACCAAATTAAAAGCAGTTTCTCTTGTTTGCTTTTAACAAATAGATGCTCGAAGTGTGTATTTTTATGTTCTAAATAAAAATGTTTTATATTTATGTTTTTCTAAGTCAAATGTAAGTCAAAAAGTTTGCATATAATGTATTAGTATTAAAATTGCTCTAAAATCACTATTCATGTGTTAGAAGAGACTCAATTTAATATAGTTCTAATGAACTATAGCTGTTAATGTCAAAAGTTATTCTTACATTTCAAGGATGTGGTTGAATCGTATTTTAGTAACGTTCTTTCGCTAGTGCTTAATTTTCTTTGGGGGTTTCAGATTAGTTCTGTTTTCTCTTCAGTAACTAGTATCTATTATCTAACTAGTAGTAGTATATAGAGTCTATTAATAATAGATAAGAGTTATCTGCACTGAAATCAATTGTGACTTTTCTTTGAATAATAATGTATATTGTTTTTAGCCAGTCCTATCATTTGCAATCCCTTCTCAGTGATTTTAGCTCCTTTGTGTCCTACGGATGCTTGATATTATGTTCAAAAAAGCATGTTTTTAGATTTTAAAGAACTTCTTTGTGAAAATCTTGTTTGTAGAGCAAGTTAATATATATGCTCGTACTTTGCCAATTAAATGCGTAGCCAAGCAAGTTTACAGTTGCACTTTCTGTCCTTGCTTGCGTCCTTTATTCGCAACGCTTCTCTGTTAAGAGGGAGAGCGTTCTAAGGCAAGCAACAAGATATGCTTATTTGGCATCTATGCTGCATATTTGACGCCATATTTATGTATTCCGCTTGTGTGTGCGTGTGTGTGGGTTGCAGCTCCGCGTTGTTAAGCATTAAATTGCTTGATATATCGCGCCATTTTTTTGTGCATACTCACGACTTTTAGCTGCAGTTTATCCTTCGTCCTTTGCTGCCTCAGCCCACTTGAGCTTTGCATGCTTTCTTTTATGAATTATTATGCGCGCGTCTATGTAGCTCTTGTTGCTCTCCGTCTTGCTGCGTCTTTTGTCTCGTTTTAAATTTCATAATGCACATTTTATAATAATTTTTCGTCTACTTTGCTGCAATTTTGCACAATTTTTTATTATAAATTATAAATGTGTGTGTAAGTAGCGGTCTTTGTTGTAACTGTTACAAAATTTTGCAGCACAGTGCTTCGAATATGCTTCTTCAGCCGGTTGTTCTACGAATATACTCGTATGTGTGTGTGTGAGTCGAGCGTAATGTTGAGTTATGGCAGTTCTGTAGTTTGCGTAAAACTTTTTTATGCCCTATTTCTGCTCATATTCTTCGTTGTTGCTGCTATTGCCCAGTTCTTTTTAGCTCAGTCTGGGTATTTAGTTAAATGTTCGTAAAATTGAGTGTTGGTTATATTTCACTTGAAGTTTTCTTGCTTAAAGGCATCTTCGACTTGCCTTACCCTGCCCTTCCCCTCCGGCCGCAACATACGAAATCGCCTTTAATCGATTTGGCTAAAGCAATAAGCAAAAAGTTTTATGAATGCACAAGTTTAGTTTAGTTGGTTGGAGACGGGCGACGGGTATAGGGATAATTATGAGACCAGACAACTTTATGACTTTATCGGTGCTATTGTTGTTCCGCTTTCACAGATGTTGTTGTTGTAGAGTTATGTGTTTTAAGGCGTTTGAAATTGTAATTAATGTAGCTGTAAATGCCAATAAGTAGTAAAGGGAAATAATGGAAACAATTTTAGTGTGCAATAAAAAAGTTTTCCACAAATGTGTATACATGTAGCGATCTAGACAAGGATCCATTAGTTGCGTAGACAGCAGACAGAGCATTTTACAGCAACTTAAATCTTAATAATGTTAAGAACAAAATCGGTGGGTGGTTCTTGACAAAAGTATATTTGAATAAAAACTACTACTTATTATTTGTATCCGCATATTGAGAAGAAGCACAAATTGGAAAGAGACTTAAGAGTTTGCCCAAAAAAGTAGGCAACATTATTTACATGTTGCATTATGTCATAATTAGTTTCATTTCGGATTTAAAGTAAACTCAATAGTTTTATCTTTCCAACTCTATTTAGAGATGGAGTAACAACTTCTGAAATGCCAACAGATACATGCACGGCTCTGCGCGGAAAAACTAACAACTAAATTGCGCTAAATGTAACGCGTAACGTAAATAAAAACTCACAACGATGCCACTAAATTATGTTTGCTGTTTGAGCAAGGAACACACTCACACACTCACATCCATGCATATATACATATGTATCCGCTTTCCTATATTTTTTGTTGCAACTCGTAGCGGCAAATGGCAGCCGGCAGCCGGCAGCCGGCAAGCCATCCACGCATGCCAACACCAACGCAACGCCACCAAATTGCAGCCGCAATTTGTAGCAACAATTCAAAGTGGAGCAGCGTCAGCTGCACAGCCCCATTTGTGCCCGGAGAGCATCAACAGCAACAACAACAATAACAGCAACGGCAACAACAACAACAATAACAACAATACCAGTAGCAACAACTCTTTGCATGCAAACGCATACTCGTACATCAAATGTGTCAAAGAGATTTGTTATGCATGACAGGGGCCGGGCGCTAGGGTGAGGTCGTTGGCAGCACACAAAATAACGACAACATAGAAAAAATCATACAAAAACACCAGTAGCAGGAATAACAAGAACAACAACAACAATAACAGGAACATCAGCTTCCAGCAACAGCAACAACAACAACAATAAGAGCAACACAAATGGGGACTTCAACGCCAAATGCGCAGTGCTCCGAACGAGCATAGATAATTTGGGGCCGGGCTGGCTGGCAGGCAACTCATGCGCAAGGACAGCCGAGACGACCCTATCATTTGTAATTTTAAGCGACGCAAACACACACACACACACACACACATGCACATGGTATATGTATGTACAGTGCGCTTAATAGACAGCACTTCATTTTTTTTAGTTCAACTTTCTCTGCATGCTAATTGTGACAAATGGCGGGCTAATTGGTGCTTAAATTTTCAGCTTGGCAAAATTTCAATTTTAAATAGATGTACTCGGCTGTAGCTGAAAAAATTGGCTTTTTAAGGTCACAACTCAAGGTCAGTTGGTGGCAGCTGCATAGAAAATTATGCCAAACACACATTGTTTTCGCCATTGCTCGTGTGCGTCTGTTTTGTGCGTTCGACACACTCAGTTCCTCACTTCTCGATGGTATTTTAATTACAGTGTTGCCGCAGCTCAGGTGAGTGCAGAGAGTGGACACGTGCATGTCCTTATGAGCTAAAAGCATGGCAACAAATAAAATGATTGCAAAGCATGTGACCATGGCGACAAAGACATCAAGAGAATATTGCAAAATTCGAATTGTAATTACAACGTACATCGCAACAAAACCACTACAGTAGCTCTACAGTAAATTAATTTTAAAACCATTTCATCAGCTTCGCAAAAGAAACAAAGTTCAAGGCGACAGTTGAATTATAGTCGTTATTAGATAGCTTTGTTGTTCTCTTGTCCCATTTTCTCAGTTGATTTTAGTTCGATTTGTCAACATAACTTATTAAAAGCATAACAAATAAGAACTTGAAAGATTTTCTTATTTTTCAGTTTCACGTATTCTTTTAATTTCTTGACAGGCAACTCACTTTTCTCCAATCCTCATATCTAACTGATTCCTGATAATTCCTACATGATCGTATAGATCTAAGAACTAGAAGTTTCAACTGCTTGCAATTGATTTATCTTTCTACCTGCTTCTAATTTATTTATTATCTCAAGTATTTGGAATTGATTTTCTTTCTATCTACTGCTAATTTATTTATTATCTTAACTAACATTTGGTTTTAGAGCAGAGCAGGATATGGCTGTGAAATTTGATTGGTCAGACAGACCGCACACCTGTGGAATTCAAATTTAAAATACACAACTTAATTCGATATTGGTGCTGATTAAAGCTTTATTTAAACGGTGCATATCCAAACTTCTTCATAAAATTTTCATTCATTTTTGTTCTAAAAGTTGAGCATAGAAGCAAAAAAATGAACGTAAAACACAACGTCGTTCCCCGGTCATGCATCTGTAAACTAAAATACGAGTAAATGAATGTATTAATGTGTGCGTGTGTGTGTGTGGGAGCGAGTGTGTTGGTGTATGGGTATGGGTGTGTGTAATGCTTTGCTGCCTCAGTAAGGTGTTTTCGAACTAAATCAAATGAGTTTTCTTCAGCACGGATAGGAACTCGGCGCGACACACTTCACCGTCCCCATCGAGATCGGCCTCGTCAATCATTTCCTGCAACTCCTCGTCGGTGAGCTTCTCGCCCAGCTCCTGGGCGACGCGCTTTAAATTGGCAAACGATATTCTACCAGTGCGATCATCATCGAAAAATAGAAATGCCTTTTGCATCTCCTGCATTGAATCCTTCTCAGACATTTTAATGCGCATTATATGGAGAAAATCGTTGAATGCAATGCGGCCGGACCTATCCTTGTCAATCTCATCCATCATGCGTTTGATTTCCTCCTTCTTTGGCTCAAAGCCCAGGGCACGTATGGCCACGCGCAGCTCTTTCACTTCGATGAAGCCGGTGCATTGGGTATCGAAGAGATCGAACGCTTTCTTGATGTCCCGTTTCTGATCCTGCGACAGATCGAAGCTGGGCAAGTTGCGAGCACGCTTCACCTTACGCATTCCCTTGCTCAGGGAGTTGGTGCTCTGCATAATGGTGGCGGTCGATCCCATGCTGCTTAGATAGCTGCCTGTCATGGTGCCCGAGTATTATAATATTCCGTAACGTTTTTTTTTCAATGCGATGTTTCCGATCAATTTTTTTTGAAATTTTTGTATTTTTTGGTTGTATTTTATATGTTTTCTCTATGCCGTTTGGAAATACACTGAATATAAAAAATATAATCCGAAAGCCGTAGGCTTGACGCTGTCGATAACAATATCAATGTTCACTAGGTTTCGATAGTTTTCGATATTTTACATTTAAGCAGCTAAAAAATATTAGAATAGCAGATGCTTTTTGATTACTGTTCGTGGTATGGGATCTGATTTATTTCTGCTCAAATTTATGATTTCCTCCTACAAGAAACTAATTTTTTCAACTCTTTTAAGCTGCAGACAACACATGCCGGAACGATATTAAATACCATGCATTTAACTAACTAAAAATTGTAAAATGCGACTATGAAGGTATACATTTATTTAATTATTCAAATTGTATTCTATGAAAAACAATATGTAACAACAAAATTAATTGTTTAAAGTTTTTGAATATATTATGAATTGATTTTGTATTTTTCTTGTATTATTTCTGCACAAATGTTATAACTTTTGTTTAGTGTTCATCGTCATCGCTTTATGAATGTTGTCTCGCCATTGCATTGGTAGCAGCCATTATGAGCAACTACTTTCACTGCTCAGGCCATTTGTCGATATTTCTTAGTTCCAATCATAGCACTACACAATGTGTTACATAAATTTATAAACAGAAATTCTCAATCCCCAAACACATACAAATACGTCCAATTCCGATATCTTGTTTCAAGTTTGCACACCATGTTATCGATTGAATCGCAGCGGACAGATAGCCGATTATTGATCGACATTATTCATGTTGCAGTCCAACCAATTGCTGTGCTTCTAATACTAGGATGCTAATAAAATTCAAGTGTTGCCAACAAATTCTTCAAATACTATAATTTGTTCTGTTAAAAATCTTAAAGAGTGTCCGACTATTTACTTCAGCTTAAAAGAGTCAGCTGAGCTTTCTATAAAAAACCGATAATTGATTGAATCAGCATAAAATTTGTGGAATTTTAATCATCAAAGTATGCCCCTGCTACATATCTATAAATATCTCACAATATCCTTATGTACGCACACATGGCATAGCGCCCAGTTCAGGTCCGGTTCAGGCTGCCACATTTCACTCAGGTTCCGCTTACGTGCTGCGCATTGTTTACCCAAAAAATTTATTTGCAAGAGCCCTCGGGCAGTCGATGTTGGCGCATTTTTCGATTTGCGTGCAAAAACAAACACACGTGTCTCCCATCCCCTCCCCACCCCACTTCTCACACCTTAGCCAAATGTGTAGAGCCTGCTGGCCACAATGGAAATTAGGATAATACGGTGGCAACTCACCTGCGCATCGTTGCCCATAGTGGTTGTGGTTGGCGTTGTAGCTCCTATGGAGGAGGTTAGCGATAATTTACGATTACGCTCGCGCTCCAGTCTCATGAGTATCTGAGCGTTCTGCTCGCACGTATAGGTGTGCGTTTTGCGCCTACGCTCCAGGCTGTACTCGAACAGCGGCCGTGCTGGGTCCAGCTTGAGATCCGCCTCATCGCCAGCATCGCAGCTGCAGAGCGACTGCTGACTGCGTCCTTTGCCGCGCTTCAGCGAACCACGATTGTGGGTGCCGGTCTGCTGATGTGGCTGTTGGTGTGGCTGTTGCTGGCCACAGTTGCTGGGCGTGGAGGCGCGCGTCGAAGGGGCCCGCTGCTCGGTCACATAGTTGGAGAAGGTGACCACATTGTGGTTGGAGTTGGTGCGCAGCAATTGCTGCATGCTCGCCTCGAGCTCATAGTTCTCGGCATAGGCGTTGGCTGGCCGCAGGGCGGGATAGCTGGGGGCGACGCCCACGCCAGCGCCTTTTCGTTTCGATGGCGAGACGTAGTAGATGTCGTGCTCATCGAATTCTAAGCTGCTGCCATTGCAGTTGCGCGCCTGCGCAGTTGCGGCCGTGACTGTGCTGCTGCTGGTGCTGCCAGCGCTGCTGAGATTGGCGTGATCGTTGAGGGACTGCAGCAGTGGATGCCGCGACTGACCGTTGCTCAGCTGTGGTGTCAACTCCCTGAGGGAGTGCTGTTTGTGCAGACGCGGCGTTGTGGCTGCCGCGCTCTCCTGATGCCCATTGGCGCGTCTCAGTTCCGTCATCTCGTCGCTGCTATGCTCTAGGTTCTCTCTGCTGCTGCTCTAATGTCACTTTTGAGCGGCTTACTGGCCCATGTTGCGGCTTATTGTCATCGGCTCGACGGCTCTGACGTCTCTCAAGAAATATTCATGCGTTGTGCTTGTGCTGGTGCTGGTGCTGGTGCTTGGCTCGCCTTGAAGTGCCTGCCGGCAAGCCATTGGCATTAGCATATCACTTTGTCTCCCACTGCCAATTCTTTTTTGTATTTTTCGATTTCCCCCTTATATATTTTTAATTTTAAATGCAACGCCCGCCCGCCGTCTCAGCTCTGCTCGGCTCGGCTCTGCTAAGCCGGCTAACGATTTCCTTATGTCAATACAGCAAATTCGCAATCCGCTTTCCCAGCTAACTGTTTCAATTGTTGTGCGTGCGTGCGTGTGTGTGTGCAGTCAAGTGCTGGATGGCTGGATGGCTGGATGGCTGCCTGTCTTCCTTCGTCCTCTCTTCCTGCTTAAGTCTGTGTAAATTTCTGCTGCTGCATAAATGCTGACAAGGCTGTCGTTCCTCTTCCTCCTTTCGCTCCTTTTGCTCCTTTCGCTCCTGTCGTCGTCCTCGTTGGCGTCTTCCTTCAAGTTGTGCCCATGGGCTGTGCTTTTCATTGGCAGCGCTTTACAATTCGATTTGCGTTGCCTCCCCCGCCTACCATCGACGGTCGCATTTCGGGCATGTGTTTCCTTTTCGCCTGTTAATAGACTTGGCTCGTGTTGTTTTGCTTTGCTTTGCTTTGGCAACTGAAAAGAGAGCAAAAGAACGAGGGAAGAGTGGGGCTTTAGTAAAAGCTTTGCGTTAAAAATCTGCCAAAATTGCAATGTAAATTGGTTTTTACCCTGCTCAAGGTTTATTTTGGGCCGGGTTTATGTTATTTTTGCAAATAACCGACTCATTAGATTTGAGTATGGATATGGGTATGAGTATGTTTGTATTTGTGGGGCTGCTCCTGCTGCCTGTCTTTCTGGCGAAAATCTGCTTTGCAATTCACTTTAATGCACGAGAATTTCATATACAATGAAGCATAGCTGTGTTTTCTAATAATTGCAACAAAAAGTTATGGAAATTCCATTATTGCTAACATTTAAAGAGCTCAACTTAATAAATAATAATGCAGAACATTTTGACTGAGCAAATACATAATAATTAAAATTTTAATAATACAAATTTTGCACTTTGAAAAACTTTTTGTCATACAATTTTAAGTAATATAGAATTATAGTTCGTTATTCAGTTATTCAATTTAGAAAATTTGTGAAAGGTTGGCTCAAAAAAATTGAAACTCTAAAACCACAAAAATTCATTATAAAAGTTATATTTTTGAAACTAAAATTTATCCATACACGAAAACTGCATTGATTTAAATTTTTGATCGAAAGTCAAATATTAATACAAGCCTAAGCCTAAGTATGTTTTGATCATTGAAAAGAAATGTAAAAGTGTTTATTAAAGTGTGGACAATTTATAATATATTAAAGTCAAGGTGTGTATTTTCTGCTCAAAATTATATTCTTAAGTATAGAGTTGTTTTTATTTATTATTTCAGTAGATTGTTTTGTTATAACAATAGCTGTTCTTTAATGATTTGATTTTAAATTTACAATTACTTCTATAAGTCTATAAGTTCTTCTAAAGCTTTAAATGAATATTTGAGAAGTTGGTTCAAATCAACAATAACCAGAACTCATTTGTTTTTAACGAGGTGCTTTGTAGCATAATACTATTTCTGAAGTAGCTCCAAGTATAAGTGCGCCTCAAATTGCAACATGTTTGTTTATTGTTTCGCTTTCAATTAAAGTGCTGGCATAGTTGAAGCGAAGCAGCTTGCATGCCTTGCTCCCCTGTCTGCCACAGCAATAATGTTGAACAATTAACTCATTACGCGCACACATTAAGCGTTAACGGAAGCACAAGCGAGAGTTGATTAAAGCCTTAAAAACTTTTGTGCTGCGAAAGAATGTCACAATGCGAGTACCCCGAGCTCAGTTCCACGCAACTTGATGGCGCACAACACTTCTCCACCACTGCTCCACACACCCACACACATACAGCCCCTCACTGATAACAGTGCGTCAAGTGAGAAGGCAAAGGAGGAGCAAGGACGAGCAGTGAAGTATCACTCGAAATATGGCCCAACAAAAGTAAAGGCGTTTTGATGGGCTGGTTGCCCAGGAAGAGGTGGATGTGGGGGCAGGGACAAGTAGCAAGTTGCCGTGGCAAACTTCTTAAAAATACTTAAGCAGCGATAAATATCAAACATACATAGTATAGCAAAATGTTTTATATATACAAGTATTTATTGTAGTATAAGTATTACACGAGCAGCATATATGCGTGCTTGTATTGGCATTAGTGGGTGGCGAAGGGGCGGCAAATGTTTTCGCTCTTGAAACTTTGCCTTAAGTTGCCTATTTGTAACTGTTTGTTGCTGCTGTTACTGTTGTTGTTGTTGTTGTTGTTGTTACGGCTGTTGGTGGGCCGTGTGCCACGTTTGATAGGAAATAAGCGCCAGCCCTCCCAACCCCAATCCAACCTTGGCAAAAAACTTCAGCCTCACAAAAATGTCAGCCACTTGTTGTTGTCATGCTGCTGCTGCTGTTGTTGTTGTTTTGTTGTCATTATCTTTAACGTTATTATAACATTGCATACTTTTGCGGGCTTTGCTGGCAGTCTTTGCCTAATTTGTTTGCTGTTTCATTTTAGACAAATTGGTTACGATTTGCCAGTAAAAGCAGCCCCCAAAAAAAAAGTGGAAAACTTTTTTGTCTGTCTTATCAAGACTTTGGCGCTGGTGTTCAATTATTTTTGGCTATTTTTGGTCGCATGCATTCACTGGTTTGCTTATTAAAAAGTTGCCATCGATTATGCGAAAAGTTTGCCATTAAATATCAAGAGGTTGCCGGAACAGCTGACTACACACTTACTTTTTTTTAGACTTTAAGACAAGAAATCCAAATGACAATCTTCACAAAAAAGATATAAGGGCAGACAATGCGGCAAATATGTCAATCAATAATGATGATGGCAGCGACGCCATTTTGTTTTGCAGTCGACATGTGAAAAAAGAAAACTCCGGCACATGTGCTGCAAAATCAATAATCCTTAGACGGTGAATGGTCGCTAAAGGAGCAAAATGGTCTAAAAACATGCCGCCACACTTTTTCTTCTATTCAGCAAATGTTTAAAAAACTTGTAAACGTAACAGGAGATCTATCAACAGAAGAATCTACTTGGCTTTTCTTAAATGTTAATTTGATTTTGAAAGTCAAAGCATTCACTAAACTATTTATTATTATTATTTTTCCCCCTCATCTGCCGCTACAGAATTTCATTAATACTCTATATAATTCCAAATCTAGATAAACCAAACTATGCATACGTCATTAATATTTAATTTTCTACTTCTGATTTAGATTAGATCCAAGTCGGTCAGTTCTAAGAAAAGTTATTAGCCAAACAATTTCACTCCAATAGTACTCGTACAATACTTCTTTTTCTTCTTTTTGTTTCTGCGGCGGAAATTTGTTTGGGTATAGGATATTTCACTGTGCGGCTTCCTGGATTGAAGCATTCTTTCTTGATTATATTTGTAATTCTATTTATTGTTTTTTTTTTTAACGCCAGAATTGTGCGCTATTTTTGTCGCATAGGTGTGCTTAAAAATCAGAATAAAATAGAGGATATACAAAAGAGAAACCCGAAATCAGCTTTCCTATATTTCAATTTAGGCATAACTGGGGGTTGCTTGAATCTTTTTAAATGTCGGTATTTTACAGAAATTGCTTCCACAAAGTTAGAAAAGTTGCAAATATTCCCAAATATTTGTATATTATTTTGAATTTAAAAACATTCTCCCCTTTTTAAGTGTCTCTCAAAGAGATTTTCATTTAAACAAAATTTACTTTCTCCAAGCATCCACTGTACATCTGCATATACTACTTCGATACTATGTATGTATTATACAAATATTGGTAGCTGCAGGCGTTGACAGACGAGCCAAGTGTATGTATTGTTGCTGGCCAGTGCTGTGGCGTTGACTTTTAGGCGAAACATTGTTTTAGATAAATAGCTTGCATTCCCATTTCCCCAACTTTGTAGCTACATTTCTCATCACTTGGCCAGCAGGAGATTTGCTTTTGGGCTGCCAAGTTGGGCGCTTAAGTGGGCAGGCAATTTTGTCTGTATATATTACGCATACGCCACATGGGCCGTCGTTAGCATGAAACACGCATTTTATCTGTTAGTTTATGACTGAGGCTGAGCAATACCAAGCCAGGCCGGGCCAAGTAGCTTTTCGGGTTGATTAATTAAGTTTTCTATTGATTTGCCGGCGCAGAGGCGTTTGTGCTGCTGGCGTGGCAACTAAAAAAGGGTTTTATGCGTATGCCATAAAACTTTGGGCGGACCCTAAAAGTGGCCCCCGTGTAGCGTATGCCAATGACAACTAAAAACAAACAAAAACAGCAATAGCTTAGCTGCCATACGAAACAGAGGACGGCCACGCAAATGAAAATCTAATTTGCAGCAACACGCAGCCCCAAACTCACTTAAAGACTTATTTGTGTGTGTGTCTCTGTGTGTGTGTATTTACACACATGTGATTTGCAACACATACACAAATGATACACGAGCTGCTGTGGCAACTGTAAAAGCTCAACCCGGTGCTTTTCATTTGCGTCTAAAGACGCAAAGGCGCACTTCCGTCACAGCAGACGAACGAATTAACAAGCCCAAAAATCTGACTAGGTAAGTGCTAGCAGTGTGTGTGTGCTGTTTTGTTGTTGATGCTGCTTTTTTCTGTTGTAATTGTGTGCGTGTGAGTGCTATGAGTTATGACGAAAGCAGCTGCGGACTTAATGGAAAATGCTGGGCTCGAAAAAGCTCAGCCAAGCACGCAAAGCGTAAATTAGAAAAAAATTCACATTGCCTACTTATTTGGGCTGAGGTGCGTGGCGTGTGTGTCTGGCTGGGTGTGCGTGTGTGTGTGTGTGTAATAAGTTGTTGTAATAGGCGCGACTCGGTTTTGTACTTGCGGCAGAGCTCATAAATTACATACGATCTATTACGATGGATTCTGCATGCATGAGCTGTGCTGTAAATTGTGACTGTATTGCGGTTGTGTTCTTGTTGTCATTACCGCTGACTGTCATATCGCCACCCGAGCATTATCTATCGCATAGGTTTGCCTCCACTTTTTACACACATTGTTTTGTTTTGTTTCAGTTACATTGCTGGCATTCTTAATTTTTGACACGTAGCTCAAATTTTACGGCGCGTGCGAGTCGCAGCCAAACATGTGTTGTTGACACTGAATGGCACCAACAATGCCAGGAATAGAATATAGGAATAGCAACAAAATGAAAATGTTTTAAAATTCAAACTGCCGGCGAAAACACATAATGAGTTTTTGTATGGCAGCGCACATAATATCGTTACACAGCCGAGCCATAAAAAGATTCCGTTTTCTAACACGCACGCGACGCCACTCATCCGCAAATAAAAAGTGTGTATATACTTACTTGTATATATTTATTTATTTATTCTACTTCACGTTTTTTTACGACACCGACAACAAATTAATGCAATTTTTCGGTCCGTAAATCATGCAGAAAGCAATTTTAAAATAGAGACCAAGTACTCGTATGTTTGGATTTTTAAATGAGCAACAAATGCTAGAAATTAAGCACAAAAACCGATTAGTGCGCTTGTTTGATAATGAAAAAATGTATTTAATTAATTTCGTTAGAAAATTATAAATGCAAATATTGCACTTTAATTGCATGCAATTTGTCCATTTTTTGAAATAATGGGAATTAAATTAAAATTTAAAATGTGCTCATTAAAGTTGAAGTCAATTGTGGTTTTCCATTAATATACTTATACTCACAACTGTTAATGCTAATTAGTAATATTTTTGCAAATAAGTATAAATACATGTCTTCATACTTAACATTAAACGCTGTTTCTAGAATCGGGTATAACCTATTATTTATTTAACAAGGAAACATTATTTTTAATATTATAAACTGCTCTTGGAAAATGTCTTTTTTAGGCACCACATCAAAGAAAACAATTTTGTGAAAAAATGAAATTTTCGCGAGAATTTGGATTTATTGATGATTTCTTGTAATTTTAAAATTTGTTTACCTCCGCAACAATGCATGAAAAAGCTTCGTCTAACTTTTGATGATAAAGTACCGTCCCAAAAAACAATTAATAATTGGTATGTGAATTCAAGAGCGATCGTGTTTGTCTAAAAGACGTTAAGGACAGCAATCGACTAACTAGCTCCTCTCGAATAATGGAAAGAAAATCCCAAACGATTCACCTCGGGAGGTTTACAAGTGGAATGTGTAGCGAAACTTGGATAAATTCATATAAACCTGAATCTAAAGAAGAATCGACTGTTTGGGTGTTTCAAAATTAATAAAAGCGTATTGCTTCGAAAAATAATGTTTTAATTTTTCTAACTTAACTTAAACTGCACACATAAACACAAAAAGAACCAATCCCGATGTAAATGTTTGCAATTAATTTTTCATATTCATTAAATTTTGTTTTTGAGGAACAAGGTTTTTAAAAACTAAGCCGCTGGACTCAAGTGTTCCAATTTTCATCAATTGTATTGACGGCAGTCTTTTCCTGCTATTGCCAGCTTGGAAACGGTTTTGTTATTCTATTCACCGCATGCTATTGAGACCCGGGAAATGCTTCAAAATTTCCCTAGATAAGCCATCCTACATCTTATCTGAATATAATAACATAGGTTTGTCTCGTAGAGGAACCTCGTGTTTTGCTGCAATTGGTTGATTGTTACTCGAAGGTAACTTTAAAAAGAGGTCCTTTGAATTTAGCTGCCCGTAAGGCTGAATGTGTGGTCTTCTAGTATATTAAATGTTACAAGATGTATAAAACTAATTTTATATATTATTAATTGTAAGCTTTTTATTCGTATCGCCTTTAATTTAAAGTCAACTCTCCAGAGGCGCTGCTAACTTATTTTCCATTTCAAAATTGTTTCTTCTGTTTCCTGCCAGCGCACAGTTATAGCCACTGTCGCCACCTAATCCCCATAACCGCCACAAGTTTCGCGACCAGGCTGCCGCACTTATTTAGCTAAAAACTTACAACGTCCGACCACAAGTCATATTTTTAGCGCCGCTCTAAGTGCGTTAACTGCACTTGCGTTGCGCGCATAAAAGTTTTGCCAGATCCCAGCAAACTCCCGCTACCGAATAGTACTTGTAGTCAGCATGCCCGTTCCACACACTTCATGGCCCATTTTTATCTGTGCTGGCCCTGGCTGTGTAACTCGGCTTGCATCCGTTCTAAAAAGTTGTGCCAGCTAGCGACCAAATTCAAGTGGTGGGGGCAAAGGCTTTTAGCTGACTTAACACCACGCACACACACACACACACACACACACACACACACACACACATTTACACACAAGCGCGCATACATACTCACTCACATACTTTAATATATTGCGCTGCTTCCTCTCCTTCTGCCTCATACACTTCCCTTTAGTGGACTCATAAAGCTTAAGCTTAAGCATGTCCCCAAAAAGGGTTTCCTGCTTTGACTTTTGTATTATTTTTAGCAGCGTACAAAAATTTGCAAAAGCCCCGCATGTGTGTGTGTGTGTGCATTTTTGTATAGGCGATTGCGTGTGTGTGTGTGTCTGTGTGTGTGTGTGTGTGTGTGTGTGTGTGTGTGGGTCAAAACAAGTTAACAATAGCGCGCGTGACTTTAAATAAAGAAATAACTTGCACATAGTTGTAGTCAAACAATGCGCGGCATTGCCAGCGTCGCCGTCAGCGTTGGCGATGGCGTTGGCGTTGACGTTGACTGCGACGTCGACGTCGACGTCGCCGCTTGAATTTGGCCAAGAATTTAACATGGATACGCTTTTATATATTGCTTTGTGGTTGTCTGTCTCTGTCTCTGTCTCTGGGTGGGATCGGGATTGGGATCGGTGGCAGGGCCATGCGCCACGCTCTACTAACAATGCCAAGCAGTCGCACAAGTTTTGCATTTTTCACAATGCGCTTTATGCTGTCGTTGTCCTTTTGACAGTAGCGCCAAAAGTTTAGCACTTAATTTTTTCTCCTTTTCTATCTTATTCCGGGACTCTTTGGCCACTTTGAGCGGCTCTTAGCTCAGTCATTGTCTTATTTATGGCACGCATTAAGAATGCTTTCTCAATTATTTACGTACCTTGCACTTCTGTTGGCTTTCGGCTGCAGCGGAGTAAGCGTCTTCAGTTAAGGGACGAGGACTGCAACAAGAAACGATAAACAGATTTATTTAAACTGAATGCTGCTAGAGAATATTAAAGCAATAAAAATAGTCCCAGCATGAGGCAAATGTTAGCATTAGGTCACTTAAGTTATTTTTAATTGCTTTAAAATCGAATATGCACAAGTTCTATATAATCAACTACAATTAATAACGAATTTGGAGCCCAATTAATTTTGTTATAAAGTTACATTTTGAAAGACAAGGCTTACACATTGTAAGTTAATGCTAAGATATTATTCAACAAACTGCAGAATAAATAATTCTATTTTTAAAACACTTCAAAGGTAAGCAATTGAACTAATGGAACTTTTCGGAATGACAAACATTTCTCAGCTAATGTAATTTTTAAAGGTTCACTTCAATGAACTGTTTTTTGTGAAAAGAACCACATAGTATAATTATAATAAGAAGGAAACCTTTTTGAACAACCTTTTTAGAATGGGTTCTGAACTTTTTTAAGGCTCATCAAACGGTTAATCAGACACATTTTTCCTGTAAGACCAAGCTACCTTTTTTTTTGAAGCTGAATAATACGCTATAATTTGATATAACATCCAAAAAGTTTCAACCTTAATATATAATTGATTTTCGGCATAAATTTTGCTTGCGATGATAACTACTTATGTAGCTAGGTTTGCTATTCTACGCTGTTTGAAACAAGTCGCTTACAATAAGTATCGGTGTAAACGATTTCGACCGTACATGAAAAAGTTATAAATTTTGTAATTAATATGCAGAAATTAGCAGCAATTTATTATTTTCAATCAACATGGCTGCCAACTAACAATTATCTGCCGGAAAGACCGGCAAAATGCAAGTGGATTGCGTTCAACTCTTGGCTTTCACATAACAAACGAGAGCATTTTCAAACACAAAGCCCAGCACACACATATATAAGTATATATATGTAGATAAATATATATAGAAACACATTGTCATAACTAACACAAACTTATATATCCCTGGAGACAGATTTATATTACTTCCCCTTTAGAGATGGAGCCGGCACACTAACAACAGCCTCCCTGCCAGCTACTACGACTGTTCGGAATATCTGCCATTTAGCACACCAGCACACTCACACACACACACACACACGCATAGAGACATTAGTGACGCGTGCGTGTGTGTGTTTGTTTGTTTGTTTGCTTGCTTGCTTGTATGCTAGACACCGCGTTCAGAGGTTAAAACTCCAAGGTCTGCACTGCAAATTTATCAGTGTCAAAAATAATAGCGCCCGTTTTCTCTCTTTTAATAATTTCCCTCGGCAACGAGACTCGCGCGCATTTGGAGCGGAAATGCTGCTCGAGTTGAAGAAGTAGCAGGGGAAAAAATAAAATAAAATAGAGACCTACACACACACACACATACACACACATGCAATGGGCATTAGAACAATGGCGCACAGTTGCAACAACTGACCCACTGCGTATGTGTGTCTGTGTGTCCGTGTCCGTGTGTGTGTGTCACGTAAATGCAAATGCCTTCTAAATTATTTCAATTCAAAATGGTCGCCTCGCTGGGCGCGCTTCTGCATATATGCGTTTCTGCGTTTAATGTGGCTTAGTAATGAAATTTGAATGCGTTTTGGCGCTCAGTTTGTGATTCTCTGGCTCTATCTCTCTGTCCATCTCGCCCTCTGAGGTCCAGAGCGTAAAAACAATTTTACTTTTTCACATTTTAATTTTTTAACTTTTTCACTTTTGCCTTTGTTTTGCGTGCTGGCTTTGTGTGTTTGCGTGTGTGTGTTGTTGCTGGCGTTGGCGTTGGTTTGCTTGTCTCGCGACAACATCAAAGCAGTCATTAATTTAATTGAATTTGCTTTTTTATTATTTGTTTGTGCTTTTCATTTGATTTGATTTTCTCCACATTTGTTCAAGAAATATTTTTTCCATATGAGCCTTAATTAAATTTTTTATATTGCTTGCTACATTTTCCTTTATTTGGTATCTTTTAATGCGCTCTGAATATGCATATTTGCGCTCATTTCGCACCCACCACACATAAGCAATTTTTGGAATTTTTATGATATATTTGCATTTGACATTTTTGTGCCAGCAATTTTCTTCCTATTGTTACTGTTATTGTTGTTATCTCGCAGCTGTTGACAGGCCATAAATTTAATATGCTAATGGGTTCGTTTTTTTACAATTTCATTTGCAGGTTCGTTGAAAGCTCTGCAAACAAATTATATGATTTGTAAATCATTTGTTGCACAAATTTGCGCAGCCAACAAAATGGGCAAAAAAAATGTATACAAAAATATGTGATAAAGGATGTTTAAACATATTTTACAAAGCGTAGCTACCATCTATATAATTAACTGAAAAAATGATTGGAAAATGCATGCATATATTTATAGACTAATATTAAAGCATGATTGAAAATGTAATTTAAACGTGAAGGTTTTGTAATAAGTAAATAAAGAAACTTCGGAGTAAGGAAACAAAAAACAAACTGAAGTGGCGGGTGGGACAAAGAAGAAGATGTTGACAGAATGAGATGTTGTTGTGAGACTATTGTGGGAATATAATCCTGACTTCGACTCTTGTCTATCATAAGTAGCTTTTTAGCCTGAAATTTAATCGTTTGAATTACGCCTTCATTGTATTTTCAGCCAAACTGATTGCATAGGGAAAAATGTGCAATACGAGCTTCAAGCAAGTCAGACTTCTAGCACCATTTTTTAAACAAGTATTAAAATGACTTGCTTTAATAAAACTGACTACAAGCACTGCCTCAGTCTATCTGTAAAAACAGCAAGCAAACGAAAATAGAAATGACAAATGACAGCTTTTTAACCAGATTCAGCTCAACTATTTGGTTTTGCATTTATAAAGCTATTTGTCAGCTGCCATCAATCAAATTATGCGCAGTTTTCGCACAGCTTGGAGCTGACCTCTGCCCTATTTTCAAAGCCAACATTTATGCTGCACCCTGGCAAAAATAAATAACACTTTACAAATAATATAGTAGATGCGAGGGCTGTAGGAGCCTTAGCGAAGTTGCTCTTCACAAAAAATGTAGACAGTTGCAGCTGCCGCTACGATGAACATTTTTAAAAACGACTTACCATTCATTTTCATTTTGCGCTTCAATGTTGCACATTAAGCTCAAACTTTGCGCCATAAATTCAGGGGAAAAGGAGCAGAAAAGGATCCCATTCCAGCAGACAGACATGCTGCCATAAATATTGCCTACTTACATCGATATAAGGCCCATTGACCAATGCTGGGCATAAAATATGCAGAAAAATTGGCAACTTTCTTCTTTTAGGCATGAATTTGGAAATTTTTAAGCTATTAACAAAATACTTTGGCAAATTCATAAATTGAAGCACATCATAACAACATAAATATTTTAAACATGCTAACGAGGAGGAGCACGAAAGAAAGGACGAAAGAAAATTGAGTAGAAAACTTTGCGCTGCATGTGTTTGGACAGACAAAACTTTATTAACTTGATTTTTCAACGTCAACAGGGAACATAATATAGGCAGCAAATACCCTCACACCCACACCCACACACCCACACCCACACACCCACTACATATCCGAACTGGCCGCTTTGTTATTCATGAATGGCTCGTCAAAGCTTACTTAATGCCCAATATTGGCCATGGCTTAAACAGTTGGACCATTCAATGAACTTTGTTGTGCCGCAAAAACTTGGCCAGTGTCCATATAATAATCCGCATTGATGTTAAATGCTGACAGCGAGCACACATTAATATGCAACAAGGCAGCTCATGTCTATCTTTCTAGTCCTGCCCCCAAAAGGTGAGACAATTCCATGGCCCCACACCCATGGCCGATGCTAGTCGGCTGTTGGTTGTTGGCTGTTGCCCGCGGTGTTGTGTCAGTATTTCTTTATCACATAAAAAAGCGCATTAGACTTTAATAAGCCAATAAGTTTGCGCTCAGGTGTGTCGTGCCCCCACCCTCGGAGCCAACAACATCGTCGTCCTGTGCTTTTGGTAGTGCATTAATATTTATGTGCGTATTAGACCTGATTGTGCCATATGTTCGGCTGATGTGGTTTCGTGGTGGTTGTTGTTGTTGTTTTGATGCCATTGGCCTAATAAATAAAATTAAATGTATCTGTTAAGTTTCATTTCGTTTATAAATACCCGCAGCTGCCAATGCCTGTGCCGTCTTAATGAGATGCGTCAAGTGCTTGGGTTATCTAAGTACTTCGATACATATGATGCCTTAGAGTGGCACGAAACATCTATTGTTGTGGTCTGTGGCGGGTTAATGATAAAGCCATTAGTGCCTAAATTGGCTGATACTTGAAAATACGTGTCCCAGCCAAAGCTTGCGGTGTGCGGCTGGCTAATTTATTGGCTAATGCAAAAATAATTGTAATCGGCTTGCGACTCCGGACCTTGAATTATAAGTCTGTGTAATACGACGGCAGCTTAATTAGCGGGGGAAAAAACGCTAATATAAGCGTGTGGGTGAAGTGAAAGAGGTTAAGCTCTTGGTTTTTAGTTAAAATTAATATCAAGGATGGAAAACTATATGAGCTTAAAAATAATGCTGAGAAAACAGATACGTAAGTATATACTTATATCAGCAAGAATGAAAAACTTTATTATCCTTTCTCAGATTATCAGTTAATGGGTGGCAATATTTCAGGTATTTGCGTATTTAAAAATGTTCTTCAAAAGGATTATATCAAGGCCGACTTCGAAAATGTGTTAGGGAGAGCTCTGAAACATTCGCAAAAAAAAGAGTTCTGCAATTTGTTGGTTTTCTTCACCGAAACCGATAACGTTCTTGACATCGATTGCCTAAGATCAGACTCCTGAATCACTTAGCACTATTAGATACAAAATATAAACCCAGAAACTCTTCCAGTAAATATTTGAAAAGCTATGCTTATAACCACCTGCTACAGTAATAAATAATAAATAAAATAACTTTAAAGTTGCATGATTTATGTGAATAACAGAGCCAAAGAAGAGTTGGCAGA